GTTGACAATGGTTCTCCAATTGTAGTGCATAAGAACCAACAGACAGCTTATCTAAGAGGCAGACTTACGGGCCTCATTCCCCAAGATTCCACTTCATTTAGTTGTCACTCAGTCTCAGAATTCTGCATTTAAAATATTTTTTATTCAACTTTGAAATTGAAAAGTAATATGTACATAAGGGAAACAAATCAGACCCACCTTGACCCCCAGATCATCTTCCCTAGAGATGAACACTGCTAATGTCTTCTTGTCTTTCTTTCTGCAAGTGGTCCATGTAGAAACAAACTGTTCTGTCTTGCTTTTCTCTTTTAGCAATATGTCTTGGACATATTCACATATTAACCCTACCTATAGATCTGGTTTTTTTTCTTCTTTAATAGTTGCATATTAAACTCCATTGAATGGTCATTTATACGTTTATTTAACGGTCCTCTGTTGATAGGCATTTGTGTCTGGCCTCTTATATAACAAACAAAAATGAAAAATAAAAATCCATGTTCACTTGTCTTTGTACACATGGAGGACAAAACATACAACTGCTAGATTAAACAGTATATGCAATTGGAACTGAATAGCTGGACTGTGCATTGTAACAAGGAGCCTGGGTAGCTGCTAACCGAAAGATCTGCAGTTTGAATCCACCAGCAGCTCCGAGGAAGAAAAACCTGGTGATTGGCTCCTGTAAAATTTTGTCTTGTCCTGAAACCAGAACTGGTTGGTGCCCAGCTACCATTACTGAACATTTGGATCAAAGACTCCCTGGAAGGATGCTGATCAAAAGAGGGGAAATACAGACCAGAATTTCAAATTCTCACGCACTCTAGACTTTCTGGAGCCGTGAAGGGCGGATGAACACCTGAGACTATTGCACTGAGATAATCCTTAAACATTAAGCCAAAAATATGCCCTAACGGCATCTTAAAACCAAAAATAGTTTAGCTTAATTAGTAAAAAAAGGAAAGGTCTGCCCTGAACACTATGCTCTTTTAAGAATGATGTATATGGGATCAAATTGACAGCAGCAATTCGAAAGATTAGATAGGAAACTTAGGGGGCAGTGAGTTTATGTTAAAGGGGCAGGAACAACTCAGAAAAAGAGGGTGAGAATGGTTGCATACCTTAACAATGGAGTCAATGTCACTGAATTTGTACCTGTAGAAACTGTTAATTGGTGGATATCTTGCTGTGTGTTTGGGTTCCCTAGTGCCACTCTGACAAGAATATACCACAAATGGGATGGCCTTAACAAACAGGAGTTTATTCTTACAATTTGGAGGCTTTAAGTCCAAGTTCAAAGTGCCAGGCTCTAGGGGCTGGGTGAGAGCCCCTCAACCTTGGGGTCAGCTCTGCCTCCTGCTCCCGGCCCACTGGAGCTAGAGGCGTTTCTTCACTCAGACAGCTGCTGGCTGCTGAGGCCGAGAAGCCCCAAGGTTGACAAGTAAAAAGGCACAGTCCCGACGTTACCAAACCACATGGCAGGCCATTAACTTAAGTCCATTTTAAGTCCCAGGGTTGTCAGAGCACAGCAGGCTGCTGAGCAACAACACGGCTACAGCAGGGTCCAAGCGCCCCATAGGCTAGAGACCATTCCCAGGGCTTCTCCTTACATACAGGAAGCAGACCACCTCCCAAAGGCAGCTACTCAGCTGCTTGTGGTAGATCCCACCATGGAGCTGATTGGCAGTCTCATCATGGGGAATAACTACCACCAGCTGCCCAGCCACTCAACCAGGCCCAGCCAAGTTGACACACAAACCTAATTACCACACTGTGTATATTCTCAACAACAAGATAAATAAAATTTAGGGGGAAAACAAAAAGACTGACAGCCTTGGGAACCCTCTGAGGCAGTTCTACTCTGTCTTATAGGGTTGCTATGAGTCAGAATCAAGTCAACAGCAGCGGGTTTCGTTTTGCACTTTAAACAATCACCCTCGGTGATTCTCTCCAGGTAATGCTACAATCAGAGAAGCCTTGTTCCAGGGGAGAAACCAAACAGATAACCATTAGCTACATTCTAGGAATGTCCCCCTCACAGTCAAGGAAAGAAATGTCTTATACAAAAACTCACTGAACATCTTTCAAGAAAATTTATTTAGTTGTGTGCATATAAAACCATTTGGATACAATGAGGGAAGAATGAAACACACATGATATGGATATGCAATTAACCCTTTACAATATCCTCAAAGAACCATAAATAATAACATTTTAAACAGGAAATATTGATAGATTTGCCATAATTCTTTATAGTATTATTTACCATCTCTTGTCAACACGAACATTACAAGCAGCTTTCCGTTCTGTTGTAAAATGGGAACTTCTACTGGCTTAGCAGAAATCACCATTTCCATAAATACATGAAGTCAACAAACAACTGCACCAATTGAACATGAACAAGTCTAACCTGGATGTAATTCAAGCTGGGCCACTGGATTAAGAAGTCCCTATTTATAATGCACAACCAGCTGTGCAAGCATCAAAATGCATTGGCAATAGCACCGTTCCGAAGAGTGAATACCGATTCAGCGGTGTCTGAGGATGCAAGTAACGAATTATGCAGTCAGCATTAAAGCACGCCACGTTTTCCAATCTAAGCATCCTAGTCTCTAGTCAATGTATACATTTATATGTGTATGTCTAGCATTACCTCAGCATTGAAGATTACCTTTATGAAAACAGGAGTGAATTCTTTTACGGCAGCCAAAGCTGTAATGACAACAGGCCGTAGTGTTGAACCAAATGGAGAATGGCATGCACTGTGTTATCTGGAGTAATTTACAGGCAATTCTCAAATCATTGGAGGTATATCGAGTGTATGTATTAGCCATGCTTTTGTTTCTCTGTCCCATTAGCTGCCTCTTATTATTACTGTTATTTTTTGGTGGTCCTTTAATTATGCAATCCCTCTCATTAGACAGCAGAGCAGGGAATAAGGGAGATGAAACAGAAAGACTCTTTTTCCATTTAATGACTTGCCAACAGCTCTCCAGTGCTTGGTGGAGTCGCAGGGAAACTGCTTGCTAACCCTCCGCCTGGGGTGCCGTCTGCGGCTAGGATTCCTCCACACCTGCCTCTAATTACCAAGGATAATTGAGAAGGGGCTTGTGTTCATTTCAGATCAGTTTGCCCCGGGATACTGACAATGATACTCCAGGATGTTTCTGTGATGAGAAAACTGCCAGTAGAAATTTAAACAGCTCTAAAATATGTGTAAACAAGTAAGGCAGCCAGAAATTTCAGAATGATTCTGGGAAGAACATTCTGCAATCCGGAAAAACAACTGGCTTAGAAAAATAGACATCTCAGATAAAGGAAGGGCGTGAGCTAATGTCACGGAGCACTGTTCTCTTCTGTATGAACTCAATCGAGAGAACGATTTTCAAAAACCAGGCCCAGCTCCGGAAACGAACTCAGTACAGCATACCTTGGAGGTTTGCAGGTTTAGTTCCCGACAGCCCCAATAAAGCGAATACTGCGATAAAGTGAGTCACACCAATTTTTTGGTCTCCCAGAGCATATAAAAGCTACGTTTATACTAGTCTATTAAGTGTGTAACAACATGATAAAAAAAGTTTGAAATATTGTGAGAATGACCACAATGACACATGAAGTGAGCACATGCTGTTGGGATAATGGCACCTACAGACTTGCTTGACACAAACCTTCAGTTTGTGAAAAACATAGCATTTGTCAAGCGCAGTAAAGCAAGGTGCAATGAGCCGAGGCCTGCCTAACAAGGGAAGGCCGAAAGGAAGGCTCTTTGTGACCACAGCCCCAGCGCAGGCATCTCCACCAAGCGAGTTGTTACCCTCACAACGTGTTTGTCTTACACTGCAGTTTGGATCGGTGACACACTTTTTACCGATGACTCAGCCACCACCTTTATATGTCAACCAGCAATTAGTTCTCTATTTTACTTATTGGGTGGGAGAAACTCTGAAAAAAGTTTAGAGGCTTCAAGACCAGGCTCAGATTTGAAGACGGTGACCAACGATACAAATCAAAGTGGTGTGTCATAGCCCTTGACTGAACGGTTGTGTGCAGATAGAGCTTCTTCAAGGAGCTCGTTAATATTATGCATTTATTCAGGTTATACCCCAGGATTCCGTGTCTAACGGGGTAATGTTGGATTAGGGTGAACAGCTAATGCTTTTTTCCTAGAGGAAGGTTTGGAAAGCCCTCGATGTAGGTATTCCCTCGTAGCAGACTTCTTCTATAGAAGTATCAACTGTGGTTCTCTATACTCAATAAATTATTTTACTTTTGAAAGTAGAGCCTGCCTTTGTATTACACTCTAGGAGCTCTGGTAGCACAGTGCCTAAGCCATTTGACTGCTAACCAGAAGGCTGGCAGTTCAAACCCACCAGCCACTCTGCAGAAGGAAGATGGGGCAATCTACTTCCAGTAAAGATTTACCACCTCGGAAGCCCAATGAAAGTCCCTATGAGTCAGAGTCGACTAGATGGCAGTGGGTTTGGTTAGGGTTTTGTCTTACACTTCTGGATCGATAAATCCCTCTAGCGATTAACTTCTAAAATCTAGTCATATTCTTGTGCTTAAAACACATGGACCTGTATGTTTCCAGAAGTGTACAGATGCTTCATTTGCACCTTACCAAGAAAGACTTGGGTTGAAAAGCTTTTATTTCCTGTCTTTGTTTTAAAAGCCCTATTGGAAACCCTAGCCCCAGTGGGTAGTGAGAGAGAATAGTTTTTATCAGGGCATTTTCACAAATTATTTAATGGGCTGTCTTTGAAAACTCTGACCATCCCTAACTGAATGCAAGTAGTCCTGCAGACAATGCCTCGCAGCCTTGCTTCTCAGACAGAAAGGCAGTGCTGCTTTGCAAAGCAGAGCAGTGCCCGTGGCGTTTCCATTGGACCGAGCTAGCTACCAGGCAGAGTCCTTCCCACGCTCTGCCATAGGCTCCTCGCAGCCACCAGGGGAGGTAGGTGTTAGTATCACAAAGAAATCTTAATTGGAAACATCACAGAGTACTATACAGGGGCGCCATCCACGTATTTGTTTCTGGATTGTGCTACAATCCGGATGCACAGTTGAATGAGTAGAAAAAGTATGCCTACCATATAAAGCAAACCACACACATAGAAGGAAAAGTCGTATTTTTGTGTGATGTCATAGATCCACCCTACAAAACAAAAAAGAAGATACTCAGTGAAAGGTAGTTGGGAAAAGTCAAGAACACAAAGCACGCATTTATTGCTACAACCAGTTTTTCCATAATAATTTACTTCTATGCCATTTCATAAGAGCTCTGGTAGCATAGTGCCTAAGGCACTTGACTGCTAACCAGAAGGCTGGCGGTTCAAACCCACCAGACACTCCTCGGAAGGAAGGTTGGGCAATCTACTTCCGTAGTGATACTGCCTCGGCAACCCAAGGAGGGGTCGCTCTGAGTTGGGTCCGACTCGACGGCACACAACAACAATAATGCCATTTCATGCCCAAAGTTACATTTAGCCATTTTCTAAAAAACCAAGCCAGGAACTGTGGAGTGATTCTGACTCATGGTGACCCCGTGGGTGTCATCACAGTTGTACTCCCCAGGGTTTTTTCAAAGCCTGTTTTCTTCAGAAATAGATTGTGAGGTCTTTCTTCTGAGCCACACATTAAGAATTTTATTTATGGCAAAATATGAATTTTGCATGAATTAGCAAAGATATCAAATAAATAAATAAAAATAAATTATTCAATCACCAAACATATTCTGTGACCACTTTTCAAAAATATCTTTTAGGAAACATCCCATTGGCAAATGAATCCATAAGTGGACCTTAATCTTCTCCCACCAATAAACTAAACCAACACACTGCTGGTAGTCCATTCCGGCTCACAGCACCCCTGGAGGACAGAGTATAATTGCCCCATAGGGATTCTAAGGCTGTCAATCTTTACGGAAGCAGACTGCCTCATCTTTCTCCCACAGAGCGGCTGGTGAGTTTGAACCATTGACCTTATGATTAGCAGCTGAGCACTTTAACTACTGTGTTAGCAGCCACACAGAAACCACCGTGAAAGGTGTAAACCAGTACACCTGACTTCTAGTAGCTACTTACATTAGTCTGTTTATTTTATCTCCTGCATCATGCCAATTTCTGGGTTAGCAGTGGGACGTCAACTGTGCTTCCTAGGAACCTAGTCTATACTTTTGTTGCTGTTGTTGTTATTAGGTGTCATAGGGTCAGTTCTGACTTAGTAACTCCGTGAGACAGAAGAGAACTGCCCCATCCATTTTCCTAGGTGGTAGTCTGTGGTTGCTGTGAGTCAGAATCAACTTGATGGCAATGCTTTTATCTGGTTTGTGGTCTAATCTTTATAGAAGCAGGTCACCAGAGCTTGCTTTCTTGGAGCTGCTGGGTGGGTCAGAACCACCAGCCTTTCAGTTAGCAGCTGAGCACTTAACTACTGCACCACCAGGCCTCCTACAGGACATATTCCTTAATGCCTCTGGGTGCTGGCATCTCCCTTGGGTGCTTGTAATAGTTCGGCTATTGGGCACTCAGCCTGGATCGTGTGTTGGAGGCGAGGCAGGGCATGAGGGACAGAACTTCAGGTCCTGCTCTGGCCCCCAGCCTAGGCTGACAGAGCTGTTTCACAGAGATGTCTCCGTGAAAATGCACTCCACACTCACCCTCCACGGCTCTCCCTCCGGGTCAGAGCTTGGTTCCCTGCTTTGCAGCCGAGGGTCCCTGGCAGCCCTGACCCAGGCATCCACTCAAATCAGGATCAGAAAACTGGTTGCCGACTACCTGCACCTTTTTGTGTGAGTCTCCCCAATGAGAGGTGATAGCTGACTTTCTTGTTTACTACATGAGTATGTCCAGTTCTTCTTGAGAAACCGCACAGTAGAGTTTATACAAACGACGAGAGACATGTATAGATTCTTGTCCAGCTAATTATGGTGGCTGAGTTTTGCTATATTTCATACCAGAAGCTTCTAGAACAGTATCTACTATTATTAATGTCTTTCCAAAAACAGACTCTGAACGCACAGCGGCATTACAAATGAACTGGGTCAAGCAGTTCACGGTGCTAAATGGCATGGTTGACATGTCAGTTCACTGTCTTTGTCCATTTTTGTCCTAATGGAAATGTGTGAGTTTCTAACACTTAGTAAAGTGGTACCAGATTTTTTAATGCCAACAGAGACTGCTATGGCAATTGGAAAACACATTCATTTCTGAACCTATTCAAACAGAAGGTACTATGGACCTTTTTCTTTGCAATAAACCCACCCAAAGTAATCATTTGTAGCCCACATTGAATTTCTAGCAAGAATTTAATGTGGTTATATAGTCATTCATAGTTTCTACATTGACCCCACTGGTGGTGCAGTGGTTAAGCACTTGGCTGCTAACTGGAAGGTCAGAGGTTCGAACCCACCAACTGCTCCACAGGAAAAAGATGTGGCACTCTGTTCCCATAAAGATGACAGCTTTAGAAACCCTATGGGGCAGTTCTACTCTGTCCAGAAGGTTGCTATGAGTCTGGATCTACTCCACAGCAATGGGTATTTATTTATTTATTTAATGTACCTTAAGGCTAGTAACCAGGAGGCTGGTGGTTCAAACCCATTAGCCACTCCTCGGAAGGAAGGTTGGGCAATCTACTTCCGTAGCGATACTGCCTCAGAAACACAAGAAGGGGTCGCTATGAGTTGGGTCCAACTCAATGGCACATAACAACAACAAGGCTAGGCTTGTACCTCATTGCAATGTTGGCTCCTTGGTCTAGAAATCCAGTGGATTAGACACTATTCTGTTAGCCAAGGGAGCTCTGGTAGCATAGTGCCTAAGGCACTTGACTGCTAACCAGAAGGCTGGCAGTTCAAACCCACCAGCCACTCCTCGGAAGGAAGGTTGGGCAATCCTACTTCCGTAGTGATACTGCCTCAGAAACCCAAGGAGGGGTCGCTATGAGTTGGGTCCGACTCAATGGCACATAACAACAACAACAAGGCTAGGCTTGTACCTCATTGCAATGTTGGCTCCTTGGTCTAGAAATCCAGTGGATTAGACACTATTCTGTTAGCCAAGGGAGCTCTGGTAGCATAGTGCCTAAGGCACTTGACTGCTAACCAGAAGGCTGGCAGTTCAAACCCACCAGCCACTCCTCGGAAGGAAGGTTGGGCAATCCTACTTCCGTAGTGATACTGCCTCAGAAACCCAAGGAGGGGTCGCTATGAGTTGGGTCCGACTCGATGGCACATAACAACAACAACAACAACAACAACAACAACTGTTAGCCAAGGAATGTTGTCCACCATGCTGTAGTGCATGAGTTTGGTGGAAGTGGTATAAAGAAACAAGCAAAGATTAAGAAGGCCAGGCAGGCCCCTTCAGGTTGCTGCCCTGGAGAGGCACATGGGAACATTGACTCCAGTGGACCCAGAACAGCAGCTGATTCTCATCCATGGGAGGTTCTCCCACTGACACAGTGGTTTCTGCCTTGGCTGGCGGGTCCCATTCAGCTACAGAATCCACTTCTAGGGAGGAATGTTGGCACGAGCAGAGATAAGGCCTGAGGACTGAGGGCTGAGCACAGCTCAGTGTCCTCTCATTGTAACTCCCTGGCCTTCCACTCAAGAAAGCACATCCACTGGTATCCAAAGGAGTGAGGAGGACATTGCCATGGCAACTGGGAAACCACACTGGCAAATGCTGGTGCTTTAGCTGACATTGACCATGAGTTGCTTATGTAGCATCTCCCAGCTGTGGGGCCATGCTGCCACTGAAATCTGATAGATCAGTATAACCCCACAGTGACTGTAAGAAGCAGCAAGTGCCTCTGGATTATGCAAAGAACCACCAATGACCGATTCCACTTCCACGTACAATATAACTGAAGTGCCTTCAGCCAGAGGGCGGACAAGCCAGTGCTAATGCTCCCCCACTCCCTTCAATGGATATTTAAGTTAACATTTCCAGCAGGTGTAGTTGGTGGACTAATCCAACCCCTAGTCCCAATTCTTTTCTCCTTTTCTTCCTCTACTACAGAGGCTGGAAAAGAAAATACTCCCCTTGAAGTTCAGACTAGCTGTGTGATATAGTTCTTGCCGATCAATGTATGTGGAAGCCTTCTGGGACTGAACCTCTCCCCTCTCCCTCCTTGTTGTTCTGAATAGGGTGTAATAGCTGGAGCTACAGCAGCCATTATGTGAGCATGAGGTAACTAGCATAGGGAAAAGGCAAAGATGCTCTTAGAGGTGCTGCGCCAACATCGTCCAGTCCCTGAACTTTAGATTTCTAATGGGACACAATTCTATGTTACCATTGGCAGGGGGTTCACTGAGACCAAATGCAGACAGAGAACTCTACACAGAGAAATCACTGAGCATGTGCAGACCCGTTAGCTGCCAGGACAGGGTGCTGCACAACAGTTCTGGCTGTCACCCAGAATACCGTACCGACATCTGTGCACAGGAGGAGAAAAGGCGCAGCTAGATCCAGAAGGGGCCCATGTGTAGCTACTGGGTGTCCCCAAGTAATTCACAGGCTTTAATCATTTAGTCAGTCAATTGTTGGCATTGTCAGCCATATAGGCAAAAATCCATAATTTGTTGAACTTCTAATTCACACAGCTAGTATGAACTTCAAGGGGAGTATTTCTTAAAAATGAGTGTGTTTGGCACAAGCCCACTGACAGTAGGGTCCTAGGAGAGGAGATGACTTTAAGCATCACAAAAAGATGGAAAGGAAGGAGCAGGGAGGGCTTTGTCCTGTGCCCATGGTCCTCCCCATCCACTGGGAAGAAGGTGTTCTTGCCAAAGGATGAGGGATTATTGAGGGGCCAGGCAGGCAGTGAGGTGGTCAAGGGGTATCGGAACATGTGAGACTTCACCCTGTTGAATTAAGCACTGCCCAACATTTCTGGAGGCTCTGACCATCCCCTTCAGCTCTGGCCTGGCTGGCCTGACAGCCACCTCCAGAAAGCACCTTTGGGTTGACATCTGGCCCCAGCCACACTATGTGGCTCTTACCTCCAGTCCTTGGACAAGGGACAGACCTTGTTACCTTTAACCAGTACCTGGCATCTTAGGGACTGAGTTCACCTGCCCAACCCTGATTTGTCTTCCCAAGAAGCTTAAATCATGCCAACCGGGACAGACTAAGGAGGTGCCTGGGCCAGAGATGAGACTCTTTGGTGTTTACGACTTCTGGTATGCCCATTGCAACACACAAATTCTGTTTGACTGAAGTGAGTAAGTGTGAGAGATCGTACCCTGGATGTTACTAACAGATGGGCTGTGGACCTGTGGGCTGTGGTCAGCGGAGTAACGCCCCAACCTGAAAATGCCCACGTCCTAATCCCCGGGACCTGGGCATACGCTACTTCACATGGCAAGCGGGATTTTGTGAGTGTGATTAATTAAGGAGATGGAACTGAGATTATTCAATGTCATTGCAGGGCCTCTATAAGTGAAGGAGGCAGATCGGAGCGTCAGAGTCAGAGAGAGATTGGAAGGTGTTACTCTGCTGGCTTTGAAGTTAGAGAAAGGGACCATCAGCCAAGGACTGTGGGTAACCTCTACAAGCGGTAGAAAGCAGGGAAACAGATTGTCCCTGCAACCTCCAGAAGGAACACAGCCCTGCCCACACTTGTAGTTTACTCCCGTGAGACCCATTTCGGACTTCTGACCTCCAGAATTAGGATAATTTTGCGTTGTTTTAAGCCGGATTTTGTGGAAACCCATTACAGCAGCCACAGGAAACGAATACAGGAGCAGATCCAACCCCTCACTGGTTCTTTTGGGCCCACACAGTGCTCTGAAAATGTCCGGAGTCCTGGTTTCCCTTCAGAATACATCGCAATAAACAAACAAAGCCCAGGTCTGGCCATGATCCCCGGTATTTCCAGGTGACCAGAGGCTTCCGCTGCAGACAGGGTAGGGCTCTGCAGTTCCCAGTCCCTTCACTTCTTCTCTTGACTACCTGGCCACTTTGTCTCACAGAGAGGGTCAAAAGTCCATCTATGGCCTATCTCATGAGGGGCTCTTAACTTTCTAACGTTTGTAAGTGAGAAACTGTGGGGCAAGGATGGAAGAAAAAAGGAAGGTGCTCACAAATGGAGATGGCCTTATTTATTACGGACTCAACATTAATGAACATGTCACCTGCCATCTGCATGTCTTCCACTCATGAGTTGGAACACCACCACCAAGCACTGTAAAATAAAAACCCAACCCCACCCAACCCACTGCCATCAAGTCTACTCTGACTCCTAGTGACCCCCTTTGGGTTTCTGAGGTGGTAGATCTTTGTAGAAAGATTGCCCGGTCTTGCTTAGCTGTTGAGTTTGAAGGATGGTTTGAACCAGCCTTCTGGTTAGCAGTCAGATACCTTAGTCACTGTGCTAACAGAGCTTCTTAAGCTTTGTAAAGACAAATAGAAATGGAAAATAAGGGGGTTTTCACTCTCCCTGCTGAAAACGAGAGGTTCCCCCTCCTCTCCTGTTGATTCAGAATTTGCTTTAAAAAACTCTAAAACCAAACTCACTGCTATCAAGTTGATACCAACTCATAGCGACTCCCATTGGGTTTTTGAGGCAATAAATCTTTATGGAAGTAGATTGCCTCATCTTCCTCCCATGGAGCAGCTGGTGGGTTTGAACCACCAACGTCTGGTTAGCCATCAAATGCCTTAAGCACTATACCACCAGAGCTCCCCTTATTTGCTTTAGATAACTTGTCATCATAAATTTCTTCTCTATTCCTTTAAAAACTATGTTAAATCAAGGATGTTTCCTCAAGAACTTGGGAATCATGTCTTGAACTGTAATCTCCAAGGAAGATCACACTCTACTTTTCAGTTCCCTGGAAGCAGAGTAGGATAACTTCGGGTATACTGCCATAAAGATACAGGAAAAATTAGCCATTTTATCTTGAAAACATGAATGTAATGGGTTGGGCCCACTTAGCTGTGTAAAGAGTGGGATTCCTCTCTGTCTTCCCAATCTCTTTAGCAGAGAGCCTGAGGCACATCACATTCTGTAGTGGTGGTGTAGTGCTTAAGGCATTTGAGGGCTAACCAGAAGTTGGTGGTTCAAACCCACCAGCTGCTCCATGGAAGGGAGATGAGGCAATCTACTTCCGTAAAGATTTGCCAACTCAAAAACCCAATGGGGGTTGCTATGAGTTGGTATCGACTCGATGAGTTTGGTTTTAGAGTTTTCTAAATGCTTATTCCATCATACAACTTCTCTTTCCCTTCTATTTTTGTGAGGTTTCCTGGGTTGGGAGTAGATTTTGTTTTTAGTCACTTTTCCCCAATACTCTTAACAACTTGACCAGTTTACCTGCAAAAGGTGGTCCCAGCAACGCAGAGATGCCGTTGGCACAGATGATAATGCCGTATGCGTTTGCCAGGTGTTCGATCCCGACCAAGTCTTCAGTCACTACAGGCATCAGGGAGAAGTAACCACTGGAAAACCCAACCAGGGCGCACACGACCGCCAGGCCGGCGTACGTGTGCATCAGCGGCAGGACGAAAATGCTGACGACGAGCGTGCAGTTAGCCATGAGGAAGACGCTCCAAACGCTGATGCACGGCAGGTCGGCCACGATCCCCAGGACCACCTTCCCGAGGATGTGGAGTATTGCTATGATCGAAGTCAGAGGGAAGACATCATTCTGCTCCGACAAGTTATACACGTTGACTATTTCTGGGAGGTGGATGAAAGGGATAACGAAGCTGCTGTAGGCAAACAGTGCCCAGAAAATAAAGGCTACAAACATTCGATTGGTGAAAAGTGAGGCTGTCCCAAAATAGCCTGAGTACCAGTCCCCAAAGCCCTTCTTGACCCTCACGGTGAGCAGGCTCATGGTCTTGAGGGCCCGAAAAGCCCCCAGGTCCATCCCATGTCGAACCTGGCCCTGGCACTCCTGGGCTTGTGGGTCACACAGGGTCTCCTCATTGTCTGGCACTCTGTCCTTCTCTTCGACTCTGCCCACGTGCTTGTTTGACTTCACAGACTCGGTGGAGCAAGTGGGGAGGACAGGCGGACCTTTTTCTCCTGGGAAAGTTCTCTCTTTTCCAGAAGTGAGTGGCCTCATGAGCGCCCCGCAGACACACAGGTTTAAGGACACGGCACCTTGGATGAACATCGCGTTCCGCCAGCCATACTCGACACAGAGGTACTTCAGTAGAACGGTCATTAGGAAGGCACCAAACCCTGTCCCCGTGGTGCTGAGGCCCTGTGCCAGGGCACGGCGCTTCTGGAAATACCTGCTCACCATGACAACCGCTGGGAGGTAGGCCATCCCGCTCCCAAAGCCTGCAGGTGTGGAAAGAGGGCGAAAAAGCAGGTGAACATCATAATTGGCCACAACCAGGGTTTGTATCATTTTAAAGACCATCCCATTTCATTATACTAGTTGTTATACTATCTTTTTTTTTTTAAACAAATAAATGATGACTATTACTGTAATGACAAGGAGACCTTGTGGTGCAACAGTTAAGTGCTTGACTGCTAACAGAAAGGTGGGAGTTCAAACCTGCCCAGTTTGAACTGGGTGAGAAAGGACCTGGCAATCTCTTTCTGTAAAGATCCCCAAAACCAGAAAAAACGAAAAACAAATTCACTGCCGTCAAGTTGATTCCAACTCATAGCAACCCCTCCTTGGGTTTCCGAGGGGGTATCTCTATGGAAGTGGATTGCCCAGTCTTCCTTCTGAAGGTTGGTGGGTTTGAACTGCCAGCCTTCTGGTTAGCAGTCAAATGCCTTAGGAACTACACCACCAGAGCTCTCCCTGTAAAGATTACAGCCTAGAAAATTCCATGGGACAGTTCTACTCTGTCACACGGAGTCACTATCACTCAGAAATGGACTTGATAGCACCCAATAACTATTAGGACAAATACAAACTGAAAACAGGAAATGGAGCTCTGGTGGCGTAATGTCTAAGGTATGTGACTGCTACCCAGCCACTCCTCAGAAGGAAGGTTGGGCAATCTACTTCTGTAGTGATACTACCTCGGAAACCCAAGGAGGGGTTCTCATGGGTCAGCTTTGACTCAATGGCAGTGAGTTTAGTTTGGTTTTTTGGAGTCACTTGTGGTGCAAACAATGGATGCTCGGCTGCTAACCAAGGTTGGGAGTTCAAGTCCAACTAGAGGCCCCTCGGAAGAAATGCCTGGTGATCCATATCTGAAAAACCGGCCACTGAAACCCGTATGGAGCACATTCTATTCTGACACAGATGGGGTGACACGTGGGGTCACCATGAGTCAGAATGGATTTATGGACAACCGGTTGGTTGAAAATAAAGAGGTGCACTCCTCCTCTGTTCTTTCAGAATTCCCTTTAGATAACTTGTCATTGTAAAACCTTTAGGTCTCTTTGAAAAGAACATAAACCTAAGGGGGTTAACTCAAGGACCTGGCAGCCACCTCCTTAAAATGTGACTTCAGTCCATTCTCCCCTACCTACCACTTTAGCATAACCACAGGTATTCTGTCATAAGGATACTAGAAACTTAGCAATTTTATTTTGAAGACATGAATGCCATGGGCTACATCTACTCAGCACTTCACCATAGAATTTGCTTGTTAATTACGTGTATTGTTCACATCTGCCTGCCTCTCCTCTTTGGCTGGATTATAAGCTCCTTGAGGGCAGGGATCTTCAATTTTGTTCATTGACAAACCTCTCCCAAGCTCCTAGAACAGTGTCTGACACATAAAGGAATTAAATGAGTGAAAGAAAGTTCTGCGGGAAGAGAAAATGGTTATATTTTGAAATGTCAAAGGGAGAAATTGATAGCAGATATCGTGTTTGATTTTGGGGTTTTCTTACAAGAAGAAATATTTATTTTATTTACTTATCAACTATTCCTTTAAAGAAATCCCTGACCAAAATTAATCTGCCAGTGGCTTTTCTTTCACCCAAAGTTGCAAATCCTTTCTTTCTGGTTAGATGCCAGCTTGCTGAATGTGAATTTCAAAAGCTATGGCTGGATGGATAGGCAGAGACCATCTTGGGAACTGACACCTATTGATCTCAGTAAGAGGGGAATGGCAGGGTTCAGTCAGTCTGTTGGGATTAGCCAATGATTCATCTTCTATATCTCTCCCTCTTCTTCCCTTTATGAGGAGCTCTGGTGGCGTAGCGCCTAAGGCATTTGACTGCTAACCAGAAGGCTGTCGGTTCAAATCCACCAGCCACTCCTTGGAAGGAAGATCAGGCAATCTACTTCCCTAGAGATGCTGCCTCGGAAACCCAAGGAGGAGTCGATATGAGTCGGGTCCGACTCAAGGGCAGTGCGTTTGATTTTCGTTTTGGTTTTGGTTCTTCCTTTTATGATCCTCATTGTACCCAGATTCTTTGATCCATTTGATTTTCTGGAATCAACATGCCCTCCCTCTATGCACATAGAATAACTACTCAGAAGAAATCTTACGTTAAAATTTCATTGTCTTTTGGTTATTTCTAACAAAAATTAATACAAGATTGAGGAGCCCTGGTGGCATGGTGATTAAAGTACACAGCTATTAACTGAAAGGGCAGCAGTACAAACCCACCAGCTATTCTGCAGAAGAAAAATGTGGTAGTAGCCTTCCTTAACAATTCATAGCCTTGGAAACCCTGTGGAGCAGTTCTGCTCTGTGCTATTGGGTCACTGAGTTAGACTCAACTCCACAGCAATGGAGGGTGTAGTAACACAATAGGAAGGTATGGTAATACAAGATTCAGTTCTTTATACTTTTTCACAAAAAATTATTTTAGGTATAAAAAATTCAGGTGCCAAACAACTGCATCTATTACCATTTTGAAAAAAAAAAAACCAATTATTTGTTAAAGAACCAACAGATTCTTTTATATTAAACATTAAAACACAGTGTTATTATTATCCTTATAACCGTATTAGGGAATTCAGAACAGAAAGAACTGGGAGGCCTTTGGTTTAAACCTTGGCTGAGCACCTGTTAGGAACCATGTGTCCTTTTTTTTTCTTTTTTCTAACCAGCGTATAATTGATATACAATTAGCTTTATATTTAAAGTGTACAATTTGTTAAGTTTTGGCTTATATTGATAACTGTGAGACTGTCCCCACTGTCAAGATAATGAATGTGTCTGTCTCATTTATCTAGTGCTGCCACAACCGGAACACTACGGTGGATGGCTTTGAAGAAGTCACACACTTCACGTGACAGAAGTCCAAAGTCAGGGTGTAGCTCTAGAGGGAGCTCCTTCTTTGTCTATTGCAGGTTCCAGCAGCTGTCAACAATCCTTGGCGTTCCTGGACTTGTAGATGCATCTCTGTGTGTCTGCCTTCACATGGTGCCTTTCCCCTGTGTGTGTGTCTCAGGGTCCACACTGTTCTTCTCATAACTCAGAAGTGATTAGGTTTCGGACCCACCCTTTGGGTATGACCTGATTAATATGACAAGGAAAACCCTCCTTCCAAACAGGATCACATCCACAGCTGCAGGAACCAGGACTTCAATGCATAGTTGGAGGGGGACACAATTCAATCCACAACAAGATCAGTTGTCCCAAAAGTCTCCTTGTGCCAAATGGTAATTTTTCTGTCCCTCATCCTCTGTGCCTAGGCAATCATGGGTCAACTTTCTGTCACTGTTAAACTCGTCACTCTACATTTATATGTAAATGAAATCATACAGTATATACTCTTTTCCTCTCTAACTCCTTTCACTCAACTTTATGATTTTGAGATTCATCCATATTGTTGCATGTATCAATAGGTCATTCCTTTTCACTGCAGAGCAGTATCCCATCACATGGGTATAAAACAATTTGTTTATCCTTTCATTTGTTGATAGGCATTTGGGTTGTTTCCAGTTTTGGGCTATTACAAATAAAGCTGCTATAAACATTTGGTAGGAGCTCTGGTGGCGTAGTGCCTAAGGCATTTGACTGCTAATCAGAAGGCTGGTGGTTCAAACCCACCAGCCCCTTCTCAGAAGGAAGATGAGGCAATAAATCTACTTCCGTAGAGATCTGAACTGAACCGAACTCACTGCCCTCAAGTCAGATCCGACTCACAGTGACCCCTCCTTGGGTTTCCAAGGCAGTATCACAACGGAAGTAGATTACCCAACCTTTCTTCCGAGGAGTGGCTGGTGGGTTTGAATCTGCAGCCTTCTGGCTAGCAGTCAAATGCCTTAGGCACTACACCACCAGAGCTCCTTCTGTAGAGATACTGCCTCAGAAACCCAAGGAGGGGTTGCTATGAGTCAGATCCAACTTGACAGCAGTTGAGTTTTTGTTTTTTTGGTTTTTTTTGGTTTTATAAACATTTGGTAAATGACTCTTTGTGTGGACATATACTTTCATTTTCTTTACTTAAGTACCTAGGAATAGAATGGCTGGATCATATGGTAGGTATATGTCTAACTTTTTAAGAAAATGCCATGCTGTTTTCTAAATGGGTTGTAGTAGCTGTATCATTTTACACCCCCACCAGCAATGTATGAGACTTCCAGTTGCTCCACATCCTCACCAACACTTTGTATATCGCCAGTTTCTTCAGTTGTAGATATTTTAATAGGTGCATAGTATATAGTAGCTTATTGTAGTTTCAATTGCTATTGTGAATAATGCTGCAATGAACACAGGTGTGGATATGTCTATTGATGTCACTGCTCTTACAGCCCTGCTCTTATACCTAGGAGTGGGACTGCTGGCTCATAAGATATTTCTATTTCTAGTTTTTTGAGAAAGGTCCATCCATTTTCCATAGTGGTTGTACTATTTTATAATGCCACCAGCAGTGCATAAGAGTTCCAAGCTCCCCACAACCTTGCCAGCATTTGTTGTTTTCTGTTTTTTTGATCAGTGCTATTTTTGCAGGGTGAGATGGTATCTCATTGTAGTTTGATCTGCATCTCTCTAATGATTAGGAATGTGGCTTGAAAAAGAATGCAGCATTAGGATTGGAGGAAGACTCATCAATTATCTGTGATATGCAGATGATACAACCTTGCTTGCTGAAAGTGAAGATGACTTGAAGTACTTACTGATGAAGATTAAAGACTACAGTCTGCAGTATGGGTTACACCTCAACATAAAGAAAACAAAAATCCTCACAACTGGACCAATAAGCATCACGATAAATGGAGAAAAGATTGAAGTTGTCAAAGATTTCATATTACTTGAATTCTTAATCAACACCAATAGAAGCGGCAGTCAAGAAATCAAACATCGTACTGCACTGGGAAATAAGCTGCTAAAGACCTCTTTAAAGTGCTGAAGAACAAAGATGTCTCTTTGAAGACTAAGGTGCGTCTAACCCAAGCCATGGCATTTTCAATAGCCTCATATGCATGTGAAAGCTGGACAAGAATAAGGAAGACTGAAGAAGAGTTGATGCTCTTGAGCTGTGGTGTTGCTGAAGAACACTGAAAGTGCCATGGACTGCCAGAAGAACGAACAAATCTGTCCTGGAAGAAGTGCAGCCAAAATGCTCCTTGGAAGCGAGAATGGCCAGGCTTCCTCTCACCTACTTTGGTCATGTTGTCAGGTGGGACCATTCCCTGGAGAAGGATGTCATGCTTGGAAAACAGAGTCAGTGAAGAAGGGGAAGACTGTCAGTGAGATGGACTGACATGGTGGCTGCCACGATGGGCTCAGGTACAGCAACACCTGTGTGAGGCTGGCACCCAACCGGGCAGCATTTTGTTCTGTTGTACACAGGGTTGCTGTGAGTCAGGGCTGACTCGATGGCACTCAACAACAGTAACAACAACAGATAATGATCATCAGGATTTCTTCACGTGTTTGTTAGCCACTTGAATGTCTTTTTTGGTGAAGTGTCTGTTCATGACCTCTGCCCATTTTTTATTTGGATTGTTTTTCTTTTTGTTGTTAAGGTGTTGAAGTTTTCTGTATATTTTAGAGATCAGACCCTTGTCAGATATGTTGTTGCCAATTTTTCCCCCCAGTCTATTGGTTCTCTTTTTACTCTTTTGGTCAAGTCTATTGATGAGCATAAGTATTTAATTTTTAGAAGGTCCCAGTTATCTAGTATATCTTTTGTTGTTTGTGCATTTTCAGTTTGATAGTGTATTTATGCCAAAAATCAGGACCTCTAGCTTAGTCCCTGTGTTATCTTCTAGGAACTTTATAGTTTTAGCTTTAGCATTTAAGTCTTTGATCCATTTTGAGTTAGTTTTTTGTATGGTGTGAGGTATGGAACCTGTTTCATTTTTCTGCAAATGGATATCCAGTTTTGCCAGCGCCATATGTTAAAGAGACTGTCTCTTCCCCATTGAATGGACTTTTGCCCTTTGTCAAAGATCAGCTGTCCATAGATGGATAGGTATAGTTCTGGGTTCTTAATTCTGTTCCCCTGGTCTCTGTGTCCGTTGTACCAACACCAGGCTATTTTGATTACTGTGGCTATGTCATGTGATCTTTTCAACAGAAGCTCTTGTAGCACAGTGGTTACAGCGCTCGACCACCATCTGAAAAGTTGGTGATTTAAACCCCCCAGCCATTCCACAGCAGAAAAAAGTGGCCGTGTGCTCCCGTAAAGGCTACAGCTTTGGAAGCCCTACAGGGCAGCTCTACTCCATCCTGTAGGGTTGCTGTGAGTCGGAACTGACTTGCTGACAATCGGTAATTTTTTCAACAATCTTCTAAAGCACCATTCTTATTAGCCCTGTTTTGCAGATAAGGAATGGAGGCCTAGGTAGGTTAAGACTTGCCCAAAGTTATACCTACAAGGAAAAAATCAGGCTGGATCAGGTTCCCTGACATACAATTGTACAAATGAGTACTATTATCGGTGTGACTCCACTACCTGTTGATAAAGGAAATTATGACTGGGAACGTACTGTGCAGAAAGGATATGCACAGCCATGCCGTCTGGCAGCCAATTCTAACCTACACTCTAACCGTGCTCTAAATTTGCTACTTCAAGAGTCCCTACAGATTGGTGGATTTAGTTGTGATTTCATTAATTTGAATAAGGCTGACAGTGAAAATGACTGTTCTGTGACTCATGCCCAGCTCTGCGGTTATTAAATGGGAAGGTGTCATTCTTCCCCACTATTCACTCTAGTCACCGAAGTCCATGTATGTTACCCTCACTTTCCGGCATCTCAAAGGAGAAAGGGCTAGCATTTAAAGCCAAGCCTTGGAAATTTAACTTCGCTCCATGAGGAAAGCCAAGTACAATTGTTAGGTTGGTTTCCACATTTAAGGCATATTTAATATCCTGTATTAAAAAGTACTTACTGGAGTGGATGCAGGGTGGAGAATAGAATGTTTTAATGGATCTCTTTGCTTCCACAGTTAAATCATTTTCAAAAGGCCCAACAATTGAAAATCAAGTAAAAAAAGAAACCTACTTACCGGCTGCCACTCCGAAGGTAATGAAGAGATAGCGTACATTTGCTGCGTAGGCGCTTAGCACCCAGCCGAGGGCGTTCACCACCCCACCGATGATCGCTGTCCAGCGGCACCCACACGTGTTGATGAACAAGCCAATGAAAGGCCCTGTAAGGGAACAGTAACAAAGGAATTGATGGATGGGATTTTATTTTCATACTTTCTCAGTAAATGCTCATACGAAGACAAGGAATAAAGCATTACTAGAGCTGTTATGTCTGGTAGCATAGTGTCTAAGGCACTTGACTGCTAACCAGAAGGCTGGCGGTTCAAACCCACCAGCCACTCCTCGGAAGGAAGGTTGGGCAATCCTACTTCCGTAGTGATACTGCCTCGGAAACCCAAGGAGGGGTCGCTATGAGTCGGGGCCGACTCGACAAACAACAACAACAACAGAGCTGTTATGTACGGAGCTCTGGTGGTGTACTGGGTGAGGCATTTGGCTTCTAACCAGAAGGTTGATGGTTCACACCCACCAGCTGCTCTGTAGGAGGAGGATGTGGCAATCTACTTCCTTAAAGATTTACAGTTTTGGAAATCTAGTCGGGTCATTATGAGTCAGAATCGAATGGATGGCAGTGGGTTGCATTTTTTTTTTCCAGAGCTATTATATAAACCCAAAACCTTCTAGCATACAAAGATGGACTTAGGTGATTTCAATGGAGAGGACAAGGTTCTAGGTTTTCAAGGAAGGCAGACCTGAAAACAATAGACAAATAAACTGGCTCATTCTTGTTCATAACAGAAGACCTAAACTAGAGGACTAAGTGCAGGAAGAAAGGCCTGGCACCTACTTCCTGACAACTGAGCCAATGAAACCCTTAAGGATTTCATCAGAATACTGTCTGATACAGTGTTGGAAGATGAGTTCCCTAGATTGGAGGGCGCTCAAAACCCACAGTGGCCGCAGCAGTGGGCCTGAACTTGCCAACAGTTGTGAAGATGGCTCAAGACTGGGCAAAGTATTTTTTGTGGACATAACGTTAACATGAGTTGGTGCCAATTTGATGGCAACAACAACCAACTAGGGGACCAGGGGTACATGCAACCTGTGGATGCATTTTGTGTATCCTGAAGAAAGGTTTTTTTAAATTATTTGTAAAATAAAAAACACAAAGTGTTTCAACCCAGTTGCCAACATTTAACATTTAAGAGAGTTCACAGAAAATCCAATGGCAACACAGACAATTTGCCCACAGTTCAAACCAGCTGGAGCCAGGGAGTGGCTGACCCCTTTTAGCTGGGTAATGCTCTCTGGTTTGCCACAGTCGCCACCCTTCCCTCTTGCCTTATGCCTACCCTCTTGTGCTCATTTACTACGCTACTTCTTTGGCCTCTACAGACTTTCTGAGTTCGGGACCTAAAGGCAGTGCAGGAAGAGGTTCTCAAGGATCCACGCAGAGGCTCTGTGGGCCGTTCTCATGGAGCTGTGCAGGTAGAAATGAAGCTGAGCTACTCTCTGCCATTGCTGCACACCTCCCTCAGCATCTGCTCACCCTCCCTGTCCCTGACGAGACCTAGGACATGAACCTGGTGTCATGAACCTATGACACCAGGTAGGGATTCAGGAATATACTTGATTGTGCAAGATGTGACAATATGCACACTGCTGACGGCTTACTTTACCAGGGTACTCTGCTTTTTAACTGCCGACCCTCTTTGTTTTCTTCCTGGTTTTGTGGTGAATTCCAGTGCCACCAACACTTAATGATGGCCTTGTGATCAATGTGACCCTAGTTCCAGCTCAAATAGCCATTCAGACTTTCACAGATGCAGAAGGAGACTGCTCTCAATGTTCACTCAAACGACACGTTTGAAACACTGTCTTACCTTCAATCACTGTTATTTTCTATAGCCATGAAATCTTATGTTCAGGTGGGATTGTCTCAAGTTAAAAGCTTGCAGGGTTCTAAGGAACTCTGCCTTTTTAACCCAAGCTGAAATAAAATATAACTTTAAAGTTCCAACTACATTTATGTTCATTTTCAGTGTACAGTCTGTTAGTGAATTTGTCTAATGGTTTTGGCAGACTTAATCCTAAAAATTATGATGATACACCAAAAACAACCCACCAGACTCACTGCCATGGAGTCGATTCCAATTCATATCAATCCCCCATGGGATTTCCAAGGCTGTAAATATTTATGGAAGCAGACTGCCTCATCTTTCTTCCATGGAGCGGCTGGTGGGTTCAAACCACCAACCTTTTGGTTAGCAACCAAATGCCTTCACCACTACACCACCAGAGTGCCTTATGAAGAGACATGGATTAGTTTAATTAACTCTGTTGCAAAGCAGAGAATAATCCAGTCACTAAATCTCTTCAAATAGACAATATATTAAACGTTGTATGTACCATATACTATATATTTATAACATGTTGTTGTTGTTATTTGCCATTGAGTCGGCCCCGACTCATAGCGACCCCTCCTTGGGTTTCCAAGGCGGTATCACTACGGAAGTAGGATTGCCCAACCTTCCTTCCAAGGAGTGGCTGGTGGGTTTGAACCGCCAGCCTTCTGGTTAGCAGTCAAGTGCCTGAGGCACTGTGCTACTAGAGCTCCTGCATAATATTTACATTAAATAAGTAATATATAACACATTTGTAACACATAAATCCTTAACATACATTATTTATGTGTTATAAATGTGCCGTGTATTTACATATTTAAAAATAAGTATGTTACGGAGATAATATATAAAATAAACATCTAAAGGAATTACTGGGGAAAATGGAAATTCAGGAACAATAGGTTGAAGACGTTGCTCGAATTTCCTTACAGTGATTTTCATTTATCTGAACTCATGGCCCGTTGACCATGGGGAAATCTGATGAGTGGGTACCATGGAGAAAAATGCATGACTCGTCAGTTTGTTGTTAATGGCCCTCTTCAGCCAGGAAAGGTCAACAGATCACCCATCAGTAGCATGATCATTTTTTCCACGAAGCAAGATTTCCGGAAATAGAGAATGTTTGTGCAACCGTATGTTAAAAAACATTTGATGGGAAAAACGGGGGGTGGAGGCTGAATCCCAAAGTTGGTGCAATTGCAGCAGGCAGGAGAAATCTGTGTTACAAACAGACGGGATGAATTGCTTTACCGATAGGAATGTTATTTCGATAACAGGGTCTGGCTCTTAGTCAGTGACACTCTTGCCCTCCACGTGCTGGACCTGTAGTGATTTATGAAGGGCAAGGTCAGACCCAGGAGTGCTGAGACGCCTCTGCAATGACAACAAAATCTAAGAAGCCAAGGCCAGGGTCCATAACTGCTTCACTTTCTAACCACTGTTTACTGCTGGTCAGCTGGCCGCCCAGGATCCAAGAGCCATTCCAACACAATGAGAGGAACTCCCGACACCACCTTTGGAGAGTAGGGTAATAAAGCAGAGATAACACCTAAGGAGGTAGGTTTTCCACCCACCCTTGCACCATGACTCATACTTTTACAGAGAAATCCAATGTTTTGGAAAGAGATGATATACATTATCAGACTTCTTCCTCTCCAGTAGGAATTTGAATCTTGGCCCACGGCCCACATAATAAAGTATCACAGTGCCGAGGCAACACCCCAGGAGGCTGTCCCTTTTCTGCCTGTTGGGAAGCTGACAGGTTGCCACGAAGCCAGGTGAGGAGAGGAGCAGTCTCGTGAGTGAGGCTGGCACCTGAAGCAGGAAGTTCTTTGAGCCCCAGGCGTCCTAGAGTAACTGTGACTGGTGAAGAGTTAACCAGTTGGCGCTGAGTCCGCTCCACTCAGATCGACCCCCTGTGTGTCAGCGCAGAACAGTGTTCCATAGGGGACTTTAATGGCCGATTTTCCAAAAGCAAAGCACCAGGCCATTCTTCCCAGGTGGCCCTGGGTGGACTCAAACCTCCAGCCTTTCAGTTAGCAGCCGAGGGTGTTAACCATTTAACCACTCAGGGATGGGAAAGAACCAAAACAAACCAAACCCAGTGCCATTGAGCCAATTCCATCTCACAGCAACTCTGTAGGGCAGAGTAGAGCTGCCCCATAGGGTTTCCAAGGCTGTGAATCTTCATGAAAGCAGACTGGCACATACATCTTTCTTCCATGGAGCAGCTGGTGGGTTTGAACTCCTGACCCTTCAGTTATTAGCCAAATGCCTTAACCACTGAACAATCCTGTTGCTTGGGTCCCATTCCAAGAGATTCTGATTTAATGGACCAGGTGCAATCGGACAGCAGGGTTTTAAAGCTCCCCGGTGGTTCTGATGTGAGGCCAAGATCGATAACCAGGAGTCTAAATCTATTTCTAGCAAGTAAATGATCCCCTGCAGAGTCTATGGATCCTCCCAACAATGTGGCTTATAATTATTCCCAGACCAATCCCAGAAACTGTGTAGTTACCAACCAGGCGATTCCATTTTGTTAAAAGTTGGGATCTTCTGTAGGAATCTAGCAAATCCATGCTAGAAAAGAATCAAACAGCGTGTGTTTGATTTTACCATCTGTAAGAAAGAGACAGCTGCCTGCCACTGTAACATCATTCGTGAGTTCGTTTCCTTTTTAGGAAAGTAACCCGCCTCTAGCATATGTGCTCAGGACAATTAGAAAGCACGATGGGGCAGGTCCACTCTGTCCTCAAGGGTTGCTAGGGGTCAGAATCGACTCGATGGCCGTCGGTTTGGTTTTATAATGATCAGAAAGTGAAAACAATTTGTGTGTTCCCTCCATCAGTTCTCGTTTGATGTCGTGACAGGCAGAATGTCACACTGGATGTCACACTGGATGTAATCCTGGAGTCCAGTGGACCAGGAGTGAAGCCCGTCCCACATTTACTGGCTACTCAACCTCTGGGAAACGATTTAAATCATCTCTCTGAGAGCTGCATGTTCTTCATCTGTAGGAAACAGGTAAGGGGCTGGCCTTTCAGGGTTGTTTGGGGATCAAATGAGCTCATCGACATAACTCAGCTCCTGGCATGTGGCAATAGGAGTTGTGGTTAAGGGGCTCAGCTGCTAACCAAAAGGCCGGTGGTTCAAAACCACCAGCCACTCCGTGGGAGAAAAATGAAGCTGTCTGCTTCCATAAAGCTTTGCAGGCTTGGAAACCCACTGGGGCAGGCACGTAGCAGAGCTGTGGTTGTGGGTTTCTGGCTTGGAGAAGAGCCTTCATGTTGCTCAGTGTATCTGCAGCCACCCTGTACCAGGCAGCTGATGCACAGTAAGTTAGCATCATGGCAGATGGGACGAAAGACCTTTCACTCATAGAACTATGAGCCCTGCCATGTTCTGATAGCTGAGCCCAGGCTGGCAGCTTTCCCTGTAGAAAGGTTGGCTCATCATCCAAACTTCCACCAAGCAGGATTCAGGGGACTGGGAACATGCAGCTCCAACTGTGTCCCCAGCCGTATGAGGCATGTGTTCATATTTTGAGGTCATCTCCAAAACCATACTCAGTCATTTCAGGCCTGGTTTCCACTGCTGAGTTCTGGGGAACTCATGACATACAAAACAATAGCTAAGGCAACTTTTCTGGATTGTTTGGAAGATCCTGGGATCCTTCATATCCTGGCCTTTTCCTGGGCCTTCTTTTCTGCTACATGCACACACTTCTTAGACTGAGTCTAGAAAAGTTTTCCCTGCCCCTTAAAAACTTACCTGTTTTTTAAAAAGGAAGCTGAATTTTAAGTGCTATGGAAGCAATGCTTTCCCTTCCTGTCTTACTGGGAAGGTAGACTTCAACAGAAATCTAGAGCATCCTCTAGAGCAAAGCCAACCTCTGTGCATTCTTCATAGTCCTGGTTCGAACAAGGATGATGCAGGATTAAAAGAGTCAGTTCAATAATTTATCGACAATTCTCTGACAGGCATCATGGTGCCCTTATTTAATTTCAAAACTAGATCAGTATTCATTTCCTTTGTTAAATACACTCATATACACACACAACACACGTCTTGAGAAATAAGTCCCTAACCATACCACTTTTGGTTGTCTGTGCTGTCAAAAGTAACACTGATTAAATGCCAGCCAAGATCAGCGAAACTCTTCATTGGATTCATGCAATTAATTACTGAAGTAGACATCGCTGAGGGCCACATAGCCATCAGACACACAGGCCTGTCAAATGCACCTCTCACAAACTCGGAGAAAGACCCAGTAAAAAATACAGCATGAATACTTACACTTTTCAAAAATTAGGTGTAAAAGTGTAGCTTTCAAGTGAAGCAAACATTAAGAACAGTAGTAAGTACCTCAGAAGATAAGAGAATTAAATGAAATATTCCAAAGAATGAACCCAACCCATTGGCATCGAGTCGATTCTTACTCCTGGCCACCCTCCAGGCCAAAGAAAAACTGCCCCATTGGGTTCCAAGGCTGTGGGCAGTGGTTAAAGCATGCAGCTGCTAACCTAAAGGTCAGCAGTCTGAACCTGTCAGCCGCTCTGCAGGAGAAAGATGAGGCAGTCTGCTTCTGTAAAGATTCACAGCCTTGGAAATGGCAGTGGGTTTGGTTCTAGTTTAATCTTTACAGAAGGGAACTGTTACGTTTTCCTCCCAGAGCAACTGGTAGGCTCAAACTGCTGACCTTTCAGTTAGCAGCTGAGAGCTTTAACCACTGTGCAACCGGGGCTCCTTAGAAAACTATGAGAATATATTATTGTTAGCCGTATCAATAAGCTGTTTAAGCTGTGTTTAGAAAGATAAGTTCTTTTAATAAATATGATCATACTTCAATTTAGAAACATTAGAATGCAGAAAAAAGCTTGTCACTTGACTTTTAGACTGTTTTCTAGGTCCCTGGGTGGCACAAACAGCTTGTGCTTGGCTGCTGACCTAAAGGTTGGCAGTTCAAACCCACCTAGAAGCCCCATGCAAGAAAGGCCTGGCAATCTGCTTCTGTAAAGATCACAGCCAAGAAAACCCTAGGAAGCAGCTCTATTCTGTAACCCACAGGGCTATCATGAGCCAGAACTGACGAGACAGCAGCAGGTTTGGTGACTGCTGGGCCTTCCTGAATGATTCATAATTCCTTGTGCTGCACCAGACCATCCAAAACATCCAATAGAACCCCTTTGGGTCAACCGTACTATTTTATCCATTTAAATATTCATAAATGGTACATAAATAGAGACAATAATGATAAATAATGCATTTTAACAGCTTAAGGGAAATAATTGGGGCACAGGAAAGTTTTACAATGATCTGTTTTTAAATACTCCAAATGGTTTCAAAATCCAGATAGAAACTTTGCTGACATAGAATGTCAATGTTTCGATAATACAAAATCTTAGTAGAGCATGGGGTCTCGGTGAGTCAAAACTGACTCAAAGGCAACTAGGTCTAATAACAATGTTGTTGTTGTTGTTTGCCGTCGAGTTGGCCCCGACTCATAGCGACCCCTGCTTGGGTTTCCGAGGCAGTATCACGACGGAAGCAGATTGCCCCATCTTCCTTCCGAGGAGTGGCTGGTGGGTTTGAACCGCCAGCCTTCTGGTTAGCAGTCAAGTGCCTTAGGCACTATGCTACCAGAGCTCCCTAACAACAATAGGGCGAGGGATTCTCCCCGGATAACCATTCACTTTACAGCAGGTCACATGCAGACATACCCACAATCAAGGTGATGCCCATGCTGAGGGAGCTGACCCAGGCGGTGAGGCCGCGGCTCTGGTGGAATTCTTCAAGCCATTCCACGTTGAGGACACCCAGGGCCATCTGGGAGCCCATAATGAGGATGTGCACAAAGAAGGAAGAAAGGACAATCACCCAGGCCCATCCGCCATCGATGTCTGGGTGAGGCTTAAGTGTCTTCTTATCTTTGGGGTCATCTTCAAAATCATACCCAATGTCTTCATGACTTGTGTACATTTTCCAAGGTTTTCTGAAAGACATTCAGCAAACAATCACATTGAACATGAAAACAAAAGCACCTTCATCTTCCTTTGAAAGCTCTACCTCCCCCTCACCCATCAGCTAAATCTTTGTCATTGTGCTGATTTGGGAACACTCCTCACTTTTACAGGACCCAGAGTTGTCATGAAACCTGTGTCATCCTTACAGGTAAGTGTAAGTTTCACCATGTCCGATAAAGCATCGCAATCCCTATCTTGGAGAAACGGAAGTAGACTCAGAGAAATGAAGTGACTGTCCTGAATCTCATGGCTAGAAGGTAGTGCAGCCAGATTGGAAAGTGGGATTTGAACTCTCTGGTGGTGTAGTGGTTAAGGCATTTGGCTGCTAAACAAAAGGTCAGGAGTTTGAACCCACCAGCCACTCCATGGGAGAAAGACGTGGTAGTGTGTCTCCATAAAGATGTACAGCCTCAGAAACCCCATGGGACAGTTCTACTCTGTCCTAGAGGGTGACTATGAGTCAGAATTGACTTGATGCCAGTGTGTGGCTTTTATTCCTGACTGCAAAGCCCATATTCTGTGTCCCTTGTAAGATGCATATTGACAAGTGACAAAAAGAGGTTAGAGAAGGAAGTCATTTGGTCTCAGGCAGTCTTTCAGGGTGGCTTTGTTTTGTTGGGATCTTCATAGAGAAGAATCAGCAGAAATCCAGTTCCCAGAATGTGAAGAGTAGTCACACTGCCACTTCCCCACTTCATCATCTCTGACACCAGCCGCCCACATGGCACCTTCACTCTCTGCCCCTAGCCACACAGTGCTAGGGCAGATCTCACATCCTTCAGGATGACAAAGAGGTAAACGCCCGCTGCAAGTTTGGGGAGTCCACATGACACCTCAAACTTCTGACCTGCTGGCCAAAGACTCAGGGTTTTCCCACTGTTCCTTTAAGATGTCAGCCACTAGCTTGGGGTGGGGTGGGTCTCCCCTGGGTACCTTCGCTTTCACCTGCTGGCTCTGCCTACTCCTTTGTGTGTGATAATTCACTGGAATAGCTCACAGAACTCACAGAAAGTACCATACTTAAGATGATAGATTTATTCTAGTAAAAGGACACAAAGCAGGATCATGGTAAGGAAAAGACACATGGGTGAAGTCTGGGAGGGTTCCCAATGTAAAGCTTCCATGACCCAGAAAGAGTGTGTTACCCTCTCGTCACAAACAAGAAGCTCTGAGAGCCTCCGTATTCAGAGCCTTTATCAGCCACTGATGACGGAGTCCTCACTGCACATGCCCAATGGGCTACCTCAAGGCTCCTGAGGTTAGTGGACATTGGCCTACCAGTGAGTCTTTTCTGCTCTGGCCAGCCACCACTCAATCCTCAGGTATGGTCTGTAGGTTTCAGATTAAGACACCTCAGTTACTCCCAAGATTATTTCACAGTAACCAAGGACAGAGGACAAAAGCCAAACTCATTTTCTAAGTCAGAAGATCTGGCTCTTGATTTTGTGGATCCAAGTGTTCAAGTTGTTCAGTACAACTAGGGTGGGTTAGCCTCGGGGGGACTGACTCGTGTGAACCTGACTCAGGAAAGACTAAGTAGCAGACTAATTTATTATTTTATGATGGGGGATAGAGCTTTCCAATAGTGGTAATACTTATGTCCGAAAGACAAGACACACACTTTTACCCCCTCCACCCATCCCCATCCCACCTGGGAAACTGAATTAATTACTAGGAAATTACTTGGAAAATATAAAATCAGGCTAAAGGAATTTGGATACTATAGTGACAGGTTGTTGTGTAGGGAAGGGCTAGATGACGCAGGACCTTGTGTGCCAAATAAGCAGCTTGGAGTTTATATTATACACAATGAATGGCCATTGGCTGGATTTACACAAAAAACTCAAACTCATTGCCATCGAGTTGGATCCGACTCATAGCAACCCCTTCTTGGGTTTCTGAGGCAAGTATCACTACAGAAGTAGATTATCCAATCTTCCTGCCGAGGAGTGGCCGGTGGGTTTGAACCATCACCCTTCCGGTTAGCAGTCAGATGCCTTAGGCACTATGCCACTAGAGCTCCCGGATTTACACAAAAAAGAGAAATTATCCGAAAACCCCATGGAGCAGTTCTACTCTGCACACCTAGGGTGTCATGAGTTGGAATCTGTTAGAGGCAATGGGTTTGGTTTGGTTTATTCCCTTTATAATTAAAATAGAAGAACAAATAAGAAAATGATTAGTTTTGTTGTATTGATTATTACATAATTATCACTGAAAACATTTTTGGTTGCAATGGAGGAAGGGTATTTAAAAAGGATTCGTCCTGAGTGTCAAATACTACGTGCATCTCCAAGCATGAGACTTTTCTCAACTGAGCTCTGATGTGTAGGGGTAGGAGAGAAAAGCAGATTATAGGAAGTTACTGTTCACAGCCTATTTCTGTACAGCCCACAAGCTAGGAATTATTTCTATTCTTTTAAAGGCTATGGGACCCACAAAAGCTAAAATACTTACTATCTATCTGGCCCTTTATAGGAAAAGTGTGTGGACCCCTGGACAATAGCACTGGTTCTGGCCAGGGGTGTGTTGGGTGGGATTGGTGGAGGGAATTGGGCACAAGGAATCAAGGGTGCTAATGAGAGATCAGTTTAAAGGGGTTCATCTTGATCCCATAGGAAATAAAGTAGCCAACACAGAGCAGAGGTGGGGGCAGAAGTAAAGGAAATTTTATGATAATACCAAGAAGGTACACACTCCGTAGAACAATCAACCGCACGAGATCAAAGGGCAGCTTTTGCCCAGGAATGAAGCTCAGAAGGAAAGGAGGAATGGAGACCGGAAACAGGAAGTGGGAAGAGTGCTGTTACATTGTGCGAACTGCAATGAATGTCACAAAACATGTGCATGAATTGTTGAATGGAAGACCAATTTGCTCTGTAAACTTTCATCCAAATTGTGAAGATAAATATTTTTGCTTGGTTAGCCCTGACTCCATATTGTTAGAATAACAGTCTGTGTTTTTTAGTTAAAATGCTATTTCTTTAAAACCTGGCTTCAACCTCGTGATAATGACCTTGTTCTCTCTACGATATCGTTGAGTTCCTGCTAAGAGAGACAGGATCCTGATCTAAGACAGGGGCAATCTAAAGACTCCAGAGCTGGCCTTTGGCACTGGCCACCTGGGGCAGACTTTGGGACCCACCACCTGGGGCAGACTTTGGGACCTGCCACCTGGGCTGGACTTTGGGACCTGCCACCTAGGGCAGACTTTGGGACCCACCACCTGGGCTGGCCTTTGGAACCTGACACCTGGGGCAGACTTTGGGACCCACCTCCTGGGCTGGACTTTGGAACCTGACACCTGGGGCAGACTTTGGGGCCCGCCACCTGGGCTTTGACAAACACCGATAAAGCCCTTTAAGGATTACCTGACTGCCAGCACCTCAGAAGAAATGTTTCTTTCTTAACCGCTCATTGTCCTATCTAACTTTTGGAAAATTGTTAATGGATCCTGTCTCTCTTTTTCCTTAGTACAAGAACCCCTGATTGTAAGCCCAGAGCAGAGCAGGCATCTTTGGAGTCACTGAGACCCCCGTCTGTCTCTCGTTGGTGCATCTCCTAATTCAACTTTTCTCCTTGAACTCTAAACAAACAAACAAACAAAAAACCCCTCAAACAACCCCTCTATGAGTTTCCGAGGTGAAATCTCTATGGAAGTAGACTGCCCAGTCTTCCTTCCGAGGAATGGCTGGTGGGTTTCAACCACCAGCCTTCTGGTTAGCAGTCAAATGCTTTAGGCACTATGCCACCAGAGCTCCCCCTTGAACTCCGGTGTGGACTATTGGCTGTGCCACTCCAGGGCGGGGCCCCGACATTGCTTGGGTAACAAAATCACAATAATAAAATAATAATAATAATAATAATAAAGAAGTTCTATCAGATCTTCAGGAAGTCGTTGCATCACTCCTGGGCACAGCACATCTGCATTTCACCCTAAATCTCTCCAAAGGTAATGATTCTTTTGACTCAACAGTTAACCTATTCTATTGTTCAACCAGTTTATTAAACTAAAGTAAACAAAAGACAACAGAGAAATGAACGTTTATTCCCATTACCCCCAAATTTACTTCTAGTATTTCCATGTTTTTATTATTATAATATAAAATATAACATAATCATTTCAGTATTCTAATCCTGCTGTATACTTGGAGAGAGAGAAAACCAGCAGAGGGTGTCTCCCTGCCTCTGTTCCTCCATGTCTCTCTCCACTGGGTGGCCTTCGAGCAGAAAACCATAGAATCCATGACTGGGGAGTGGATTCTACTCACAGGGACCCCATGTGTGTCCCAAGCATGACAGGGCTCCGTGGGGTTTTCAATGGCCATGGCCTTTTGGAAGTAGATGTCCATGGATTCTACTCACAGGGACCCCATGTGTGTCCCAAGCATGGCAGGGCTCCGTGGGGTTTTCAATGGCCATGGCCTTTTGGAAGTAGATGTCCATGGATTCTACTCACAGGGACCCCATGTGTGTCCCAAGCAAGGCAGGGCTCCGTGGGGTTTTCAATGGCCATGGCCTTTTGGAAGTGGATGTCTAGGACCTTCCTTTGCGGTACCTCTAGGTGGACACTAACCAACATTCCTGTTAGCAGCCAAGCACTTAACCATTCGGGCCACCGTTTCCACGTCATGGAACGTATGTGAGGGAACAACACTTGTGCAGCACACAGGGTAAATGGGCTTCAGCTAAGGATCCACGTGCAAAATGTAGCACCTGCAAGAAGCTCAGCCCTAACTTCAAGGCCTCTCCCTGAAGAAGGTGAAGGAAGGAAACGGGAAAATGTTTGGACCAAATGGCATCGATCCCATTCTTCCAATCTTGCCAAGTGTGAGCTCATAAATGGTGACAAAGAAGTCATAAATGGGGGAAATCAAAGTAACACATGTAGGCCGTGGATGGGGGTCAGCTCTGCATTTATGTGGAAATACAGTCAGCAATGAAAATGGCAGGTCC